AAATCAAATTACCATTAAGATGAAAACAAAAGGTTAAAGACCCAACCAATGAATTGAGAAGTGCAGAATATCATTACTGAGAAATCTAGACCAAAGGTTCCTACCTGGTTGGACACACACCATAACTCTCAATTTCCTGGCAAGAACGAAAATGTTGAGATAGGTTCTGCAGCCCTCCTTGAACCTATAAAAGAAACATGTCAGATTACCAGAAGAGATTTGCCAGGCACAAGTAACTTTTTCCCTATGTCAGTCTTTCAGGTCCCGTATTTTAGCAGAAACACAAGAAAACCTTGCTTTTGTCAATCTGGAAATATCATATATTTTATTTGGGGCGGGGGGAAAGATACTGATAACATATGGCTTCATTTGGATGATTCTCAGACCTGGCTAGCTCCAGACCCCAGGACTGAAAGGAAAATGGTCAGGGAAAGCTCATTTGGTTTGAAAATTGGAATTGCCAGATCTTTCCAATGCAGATCAGAAAAGTCACATGGCAGCACCCACAAGATTCCAGAGTTTCAATGATCTGTACAACAGTGTCTCTGAGAGTGAGTTAGTTTAGAACATTGCGTGTAATAATAGCAATAATAAAATGCCTAAGAGTTTACAAAGTGTTTTCACATGCATGTATTTTTATCCTTACTCTTCTGTGCATAGATACGTGTGCCTGCTCTTTTGCCTGTGAGAAAACTAAGGTTCAGAGAGACTCAGGGACTTGTCCAAAATATTAACTACTCAATACTGGATCTGGCTGAAAGACAGAGGCAAGCAATTGGGAGTACTACAGATTTTATCAAAAGAAGAGATTCAGAGGGCTGGAATGATAATTGATTCATTCATTTATTCATTCCAAGTATATTTTTTGAGCCCTTACTGTATGCCAGATAACGATTGACAATGGCAGCATTGAAAATAGGTTTTCAAAAAAATCCCCTTCTCAAAGCATATTTAATAACCCTCTTATCTGTATTATAATTATGATGCATTTGCTACAGTCACACTCCAAAGATCTGAAGCAGTAAGACTTTGTGCCATAATTTACACTTTAACTCAAAATCCTGCTTTCCTACAAGATGACTTCTTATAACTCTAACATCTTGTCTCCAAGCCCCAAACCACTGAAGATCAGGGTTAAAGCACTAATTTCAAGCAACCCTGAGGACCTAAATGTTTTGTAAAATTAAGGCCATACTGTCTGAATTGAGCACTTTATCGAACAAATTGCCTTCCTGCCCCACCCCAGCTCATCATTTCAGATCATTGCCATAGACTTGTTGCAGTTCATGCACACCTTGGTTTCTATTAAAATAGATTGCCTCTGACTTGAGAAAGCTTTGTCCTCTTAAAAGAGGTCCTTTAAAACTGCCTAAACCCTATTCTGAAGACAGAAAAACTGAGAATGATCAGAGGATGGTTTTCCAGTAAGAGAGGACTCAGATATGAAAGGGTTCTTTTCTCTCCCTGGCATAATATTCTTATGAAATAGCAAAAGACTAACTTTTTCCAAAGGAGCTTTGGCATCAGCATTCTAGTTTGTCATCTGAACAAGGCTTATAATTCCAAACTCCTAGAATTTTGAAGATACAAATCTTTTTTGTTTTCAAAAGGCAGAGGATCGTGTAGGCATCTGGCTTCCTGTTCTTTCAGCAGTGTCTGCTGTTATTTATTTTTTTCCAGTGGAAAAGGAAATTTAACTGTGCTCATTGTTAGGATGGAATAATTTTATGTTCCTTAGTTATAGAACTTGCATATGTGTGAGTATTATCAGAACCACATCAGTTCCCCTGATGAATTTGCAATTTGATTATTATCCCGAGAGGTAGGGAGTTGGAATGGGGAGGGAATGGACCACAGAATATGTTAATTGAATACATCCGTCTGCAAAACCTTAGATGAATGGCACCCTCCCTGTCAGATTTCCCTTGATAGATTGGGACACCTCTTTGTAGCCAGGGAGCATAACAGCAGATGGCTGTGCCAGAAGAAGGAAGTCCCCGAAGTCACATTTGATCATTTTATTACTTACATTGGAAATAAAACTATGGATATTATCCAGGAGTTGTCACTGAGCAACTTTTCTGGTATGATTTACAATATTCAGTCCACTTTGTTGAACCAAAAAAATAACAAAGGCCAACAGCATAGATTATACATGAAAGCTCTCTGTCAAGAAAATAAATATTTCTCTCCAATCTTTTTACATTCATACATTTTCATTAGAGTGGAATATGTAGGTACTGTGTACGATGTGGCTAACAATTCTTATACAGTCTCCCTGTAAAATAAACCACAGCGGTTGACTCTACCTTCTACATAAGGGGTCCCAAACCCAGATTGGCCAACCAGTTCTAAGTGAGCTGAGTGATACATGAAAAAGCCTGAATTGGATTCCTCATTCCTAAACTCCCAGGGCTCCACCTGGTTCACAAAGCCCGCTGCCTTCCACATCCACGTTTATGTGAAATAAATTGTATATGCAGGAAGAAAGGGTGCCAGAGAATCCAGGGAGCCAGAGAGACAGAAAGGAGAGTCCCTAAGAATTAGTCCTCTGTGGAACACACTGAAGCACAGATGGAGAAATACTCGGTTTGTGGGGTAGAGCGAAGCTGCAGTGCTCCCTAAGAGGTCTATCCTGAGTCAAACCCATTTTAGAAAGAACTGGGTCTATTTCTATGAATTCATTTGACATTTATACTTCCTAAGCTCTTGGTGCCCCAGAAGGTCTGTCTTCCCTTCCTCTTCCCCTTTCCCCTCTCCACTAGTTCGAGTTCTCTACCCAGGTTTTGGGACAGGACGACAAATGTCAGCAGATCCTAAGTGAAGGCCGGCTGCCCTTGCCTGACTCAGATGCTGCCTCTGCAAAATCCTTTTGCTGGGGGCCAGACAAAGGCCAGAAAAGTAGCTTTTGTTTCCATTTCTAGTTCTGAATCCCTTTATGGCCCACTATCAATCTGTTGGCTACTCAGGGTCTGGTCCTTACTCTCTGGATACCCAAACCGCCTTCATTTCTGAGAAATGTAGATGAGGCTGCATGACAGGATTCAAAGGCCAGCCTGTCTCCTCAGCAGCAGCTGAGCATGGGTCCCCATGGAGGGCCAGACCCTCCACAGCTCTCAGCAGCCGCTATCTTTCAGCAGCACACACTTTCTTCCAGAGTTGAATGCCCTCCTCGGGATGGTCTCCTGGGGGACTTGAATGCCCTCACTGCACAGGTCCAGTCAGAGAAGCAGACCCCAGACCAGGGGTGGGAGTATCTACAAAGTGTGAACAGTTAACCAGAAGCCCCTCCTGGAAGGCCAGATATCACTATACACACACACATTCTATGCAAATAGCCAAGCCTTGAGCATTTTGTGAGATAACCTTAACCTAAATAACGAGTAGTCCTAAAGAATTGTTTCGAATATTCTAGTGTTCATTTTCAGGGTTTTTTTTTTAAATCTTATATATGTATGAAGCTGGGAAGTAGGAAATCTTTTTATTTCTACCTGGCCTCTTTCTCTCCCCTATAACCATCATACACACTTACTTGAGTATATATGTATTTCTGGCTTACTTGATTAAAGCCATCCCCTCACTAAAATATAAGTCCCATGAGAGCAGAGATGATTAACTTTTTGTTCACAGTGGTCTCAGTAACACCTAGCACACTGCTTAGCACATAGATGTTCATAAATATTTGTAAATAAATTTAATGAGTTGACAGAAATCATTCACATGGTGGTCACAGCTAAGAGGGGTGCAGAGAATGAACAAACCCCTAAACATAGTATTGCTGTGAATTTTTAAAAGGTGAAGACCCAAAGAATAGGGACATTCTTAAATATGATTATGGCGTTTTGAAGCTGTGCCCTTATTACTAATTAGAAGATCTGTGAACTATGAAGCATGCATTCACATGGCACATAAAAAGGAGAGCAGTCATTAAAAATCAAACCACAGCAGATTCATGACTGGAGCAAAAGCAAAGCCTATCCCAGAGCTTTCCCGTGAAGCCTCTGGGCTGGCTGGGAACAGGGTGTACAGAATATATTGCCATATGCATATTAAAAAGTGCTCCGGTGTCCGTTCCCCACACAGATCGCAGACGGCAAGCTGTGGTTCCAGCTGGACTGCGGCAGCGGCCCGGGTATCTTGGGTATCTCGGGCCGCGCGGTCAACGACGGGAGCTGGCACTCGGTCTTCCTGGAACTCAACCGCAATTTCACAAGCCTGTCCCTGGACGACAGCTACGTGGAACGGCGCAGGGCGCCCCTCTACTTCCAGACGCTGAGCGCCGAGAGTACCATCTACTTCGGGGCGCTGGTGCAGGCGGATAACATCCGCAGCCTGACGGACACGCGGGTCACGCAGGTGCTGAGCGGCTTCCAGGGCTGCCTGGACTCGGTGGTGCTGAATTACAACGAACTGCCGCTGCAGAACAAGCGCAGCAGCTTCGCCGAGGTGGTGGGCCTGACCGAGCTGAAGCTGGGCTGCGTACTGTACCCGGACGCCTGCGAGCGCAGCCCGTGCCTGCACGGCGGCAGCTGCGCCGGCCTGCCCTCCGGGGGTGAGTGCGCCTGCGCCCTGGGCGCCAGGCCGGCGGGGCGGGGCGGGAGAAAGGGGCGGGGCGCGGCTGGCGAGGACCACATCTGGAGGGGCCGAGCTCTGCCTGCATAAGCAACCGAAGTGCTTTCCTGGAGAGAAGCGTTCCTCCAAGATGCCAGCCTCTAAGCTTCTTGATCCCCTTTGGGAAGTCACAGAGCTTGACAATTTGAGGAGTGTCCAATTTCGCCAACCCATTTTGCAGCATCCTTCAGGCACAGGGAGCCCGGAGATGCCATCATAGCAGACCCCCTCCCCTGCCCACTCCAAATCTTTCCAAGCCTCAGCAGCTTGGAGGAATAAGAAGACCCTNCTCGGAGCCTGTAGAGCCCAGTTCTGGAACCATCACTGTGACCCCCAGAGTGTAAGGTGATACCCACTGTACTGATCATGCGTGTTCCCCTTTGTCACAGGAGGACTGTGTCCGGGGTCCAACGATCCTTGCATGGAGAAGCCGTGTCCAGGGGACATGCAGTGTGTCGGTTACGAAGCCAGCAGGAGACCGTTTCTCTGCCAGTGTCCACCAGGGAAGCTCGGAGAGTGCTCAGGTGCAGAGTGGGGTGGAATGACAAGGGTCTAAGTCCCTATTGTTGAAGTACATGCCCTTGAGTAAATGACCCTGCCCCAGCCCTTCCAGAAGACATTTCTGTCTGCATGCAACATTTTCCTTCAAAACACACCACAGTGACCCTCAAATGTACTTGGGATGCATTACAGCCGCTGTCTGTGCTAAGAAAACACACAATGACGGTGGACTCCTTATACAATGGGGAGACCACAGCGTGTGTTTTCATTTGTGTTGCATGGATATTAGGGCTGAGATTATAGACAATAGAAGGCTGTCATTTCGGCAGAGAAGTCAGAGTATCTGTGGCCTTGCCTTTGATGCCTGAAGGGCTGCACGAGCCCATAGCCACAAAACAGAGGTCAGCAGAATGGAAGGTAAAGCTGAGCCAGTGCAGTTGACCTTCTCTAGGTAAGACCAGCCTAGAGCCCAAAGGAAGCCAACTCGCCACTGAAAATGTATAACTAACTGCATTGCATGCTCCCAATAGGAGAAGTGTTCCCCTCTGTTTCTTAAAGAAAGAAAAAAAATGAGTATTTGTGCTGTTTCAATCCAAATAATCTTCCTCTTCTGACCTTCACTCAAGTTCAGTACCTCGTTTGATTCACATATTCTCTACTACTTCTTTCCTCTATAAAGAGTATCATTCATTTTTGGTACCTATAGAACCCTCTTTTTGGTGTATCAGACAGTCTGGTATCAATTTTGGAATCCAAGAAAGATTTATTGAGTGATGATTATCAAAGTAATTATGGCAGGAATAAAAAATAATTGTGCCTAATATGTGCAAGACAACTGCTAAGCATTGGGCTCTAGAAATACAGTGTGTGCAAAGAGAGCTCTGTTCTTAAACATGGAAGCCCACGCTCCCTCGTAGTTGATTTCAAGAACAGAGCAACCTGTGAAGTGAAGGGATCACCAGCATATGTGCCTTTCAAGTAATCTAAGGCTTAGATTTAAAAGATACTCACGCTGCTCCACCCCAACACACCAGTTGTGCACACAGAAGGTGGGTATGTAGGGTGACCAGAGAGCCGAATTTCCTCACAACAATGTCCCTTTCTGTCCATCTCCCTTCTCCTTCCAATCTAGAAAACTTTTGATTGTCCATGGTTATCACCCATTTGTTAAATTTCCACACTTTCCACCTATCACCCTAGCAAGACAGCTTTTCAGCCATTACTTTGCTTGTTAAAACATAAAGTTGGAGGCACTAAAAAAAGAGGATGAACTCAGAATTGGGTGATGTGGGTAGGACTAAACCTTCTAGAAAGAGAGGCCTTGAAATCAGTGGAACTGTCCAAGACATGAACTGCCTTTTTTCAACATTAGTGCAAATGACAGAAGTTGGCTGTTTGGCATTAGGATATGGTTTTGTCTTTCCTTTATTTCAGGGAATTACAAGTTTTTGAGTGTCTAAATGATGGTGGTGGGCAAGAAGGGGTATCTTTTAATAGTGCTAATTTTAGAAAGTGGGAATTGACTGACACTAAGGAAATTCAAGTTATAGAATTTACCAAGGTGCCCTTGGCATGAGACAGCTAAGATTTGGGGGCCTCTAACTAATTTTTTTTTCACTTTGACATTAGAGTGTGACCTGAAATGGAGAATCAGTTTTTAATCAAAAATAGTTTATCCGCAATGCCTTCATTAACTCCCCACGGGCTTTGGTCAACTTCCTTGGTAGTCGTTGGGTGATTTCATATGTCCCTGGGATGTTAAAAAGCGTATCTATCTTCTCGTAATGGTCTTCTCAGGGCACACTTCTCTCAGCTTTGCTGGAAACAGTTACATCAAATACCGGCTTTCTGAAAACAGCAAAGAAGAGGACTTTAAGCTAGCTCTGCGTCTGAGGACCCTGCAAAGCAATGGGATTATAATGTACACCAGAGCAAATCCCTGCATGATTCTGAAGGTAATTAAAACGGGTTATCTTTTCCTGCAGTCAGGGCTCATGTTAGTATTTTGGCTCTGGGATTGGGGACTGAAATCATTTTCTTTTAAGTTCAGAAAACCAGAAGTCAACTTTAGGGCAAAGGGGAACAGCAGCAGACCTGGGAAGTGTGCCAACACCCTACCTCCTTCTGTGCGTTTAGCTTCAAAATTGGCTCTTTGGCGATGGGGGCATCTCTCTCTCTAGAGTAGGTTCAAGAGCCAGCCTCCTTTGAGCTGTAATCACTCAACAGCTCATTAGAATGTATTTCCTAATCAATTCCACGGCAGGGGTGGTCCTTTAAAAAGATTGGCTGTATCCTCTTTGACCACATGGGCCTATGCTTTTTGAACCCTGAAGGCGACTTCTGTTCTTGCTCAGGGAGGAAGTTGGAGACCTGGCGCATACAAGATTCCATATGTCCTATCACGGCCCAACTAGCCCAGTTTGTAAATCATTCCCAGCCTCAGAAACCCACCGGAGGCAGCCAGATTTCCTTAGAGCAAGTCTAGCATTTGTATTCAGCCCAGAGCTTCTAGTGCCTTCATGAAAATAACAGTGATAATGCTAACAGTTTTACATACCTCATTTGATTTTTATTGTAGAGTTAGTATGATAAATATATGCAATCATCCTTTTTGATCAAGGAGAGAACAGAGGTTTGGAGAGGTTAAGTTATTTAACCAAGTTTGTACAGCAAATAAGTGGCAATGCCTGGGCCCACATTCGGTCCCTCTCACGCCATGCTCCCAATCTCCATGTTCTCCCTAACTTTCAGGCTTGACACCACAACCCATTTTATCAGAAATTGCATTCTGGCATCTGCAGACCAGATTAAGCCTTTCGGTATGGGAGAAGAAAGGAGAACTAGGAGAGAGGCATGTTTAATCTAACGCTATTCTCAACAAGTTGCTATGCTAGCCCACTGCAAGTGCCTTCAGAAACACTGTTGGTCCCGTAGGAAATGCCCGTTCAAGTCGAAATGGCTGGCAATTTCTTCTCTTCTAGAGTTCTATCACTAGGCTTAACTTGGATCATGATGGGCCTTTCCAGCCTCTGTCCTTTAATTGTTTGATACACCACATCCAAGTTGATTAGGTGGCTGAGGTCTTAATCCTAGAGAGAGAAAAGTATGTAGGACATTAAGTGCCATTGGCCTTTCCCATCACATATTTTACTTACCTGCTCTGGTACTGCCAGCAGAACTTGGTGGCCAGCGGGAGAGAGCAGGGAATTGGACTTTTAACAGTCAGCTCCTTTCGTGGGGTATCTCTATCCTAACTCATCCAACTCAGAGAATAATTTCAGCTCTGGAAAAGAGAGCCATGTTTTTAAAAGAAAACAAGGGAGTCACTCTGGATGCAAAGTTTTAGGGGAACAAAGAATTCCAATCAAATATTCATGGTAGAAGGAAAAAGTTAAATAAAACCTGAGTCCTGTTTTTATAACTTTCTGACCCCTAAAGCAACCTGCCTTGGATCAATAGATCACTTTTCTAAACAGCCCTGAGAGGTGGGGTGCAGGGGAAGTGCTCTGCCCATTCAGAGGTACCAGGTCCCCTGGGCTCTGCTTGGGTGTCGCTGACCTTCCTTTCTCCTCCTTCAGGCTCTAACAGGGCTGGTGGTGCCAGGACATCCTTATGAACTAAATACTTCTTAGCAAATATCTTATATCGTGTGAAGTTTGAGGGAGAACAAAAATATGGGACCTGAATGGCTTGATCCTAAAAGGGAGCCTGTTATTTGATGCTTCACCGGCAAACGGCTAAAATGTGCAGATCCCTGGGGATGGAGAAGAAGAAGAATTAAACCTTTTAGGCAGGTCTAACTCCTAAGGTATATTGTATTTCATGAAAGAAGCGTGTTCCTGAAAGTTGTGTAAATTTGATCTCTGTAAATGAATTCTAATAAACGAGGGAAGGTTGCTATTCAGAGGCACCCTTCCATTAATCCCTTTGTGATGTGAAAAATCGCCACCAGTCTGTCTGTTCTGTAAGTTTGCTTTTCATATATTGAGTTTGCCTAAAGCAGGACACAGCTGTACTGAACTATGGCAGATACTCTCCTGCAGTCGCCAGGAATATCCACTTAGGGGATTTGAATCTGTTTGCTTAACATTTCCAGCCTCGTGCAAGATTTAATTTCACTGGCTGTAGGTACAGTATGTGGCTTGTACTTTAGCTCAACGACTACACTGAAATGCTTTGTTTAAATTGTACCTCTTGGTTCTATATATTTTCCCAGTTAGAGCACAATCTCTAAAAAGTACTAATGACAATCAATGGGGTGAAGGGCAGACAGTTGAATTGCATGGAGACCTCAAGAAGTGAAAAGGTTCATAGACAAGAAGCACCACTGTCTCTTAACAGCAATAAAGGTGCTCATTCTTCTGTTTACCATGGATACCCTGCCTTCTCCAAAAGAGAATCCAGGCTCACCATAAACACCCAAATGCAATAAAATCAAATTACCATTAAGATGAAAACAAAAGGTTAAAGACCCAACCAATGAATTGAGAAGTGCAGAATATCATTACTGAGAAATCTAGACCAAAGGTTCCTACCTGGTTGGACACACACCATAACTCTCAATTTCCTGGCAAGAACGAAAATGTTGAGATAGGTTCTGCAGCCCTCCTTGAACCTATAAAAGAAACATGTCAGATTACCAGAAGAGATTTGCCAGGCACAAGTAACTTTTTCCCTATGTCAGTCTTTCAGGTCCCGTATTTTAGCAGAAACACAAGAAAACCTTGCTTTTGTCAATCTGGAAATATCATATATTTTATTTGGGGCGGGGGGAAAGATACTGATAACATATGGCTTCATTTGGATGATTCTCAGACCTGGCTAGCTCCAGACCCCAGGACTGAAAGGAAAATGGTCAGGGAAAGCTCATTTGGTTTGAAAATTGGAATTGCCAGATCTTTCCAATGCAGATCAGAAAAGTCACATGGCAGCACCCACAAGATTCCAGAGTTTCAATGATCTGTACAACAGTGTCTCTGAGAGTGAGTTAGTTTAGAACATTGCGTGTAATAATAGCAATAATAAAATGCCTAAGAGTTTACAAAGTGTTTTCACATGCATGTATTTTTATCCTTACTCTTCTGTGCATAGATACGTGTGCCTGCTCTTTTGCCTGTGAGAAAACTAAGGTTCAGAGAGACTCAGGGACTTGTCCAAAATATTAACTACTCAATACTGGATCTGGCTGAAAGACAGAGGCAAGCAATTGGGAGTACTACAGATTTTATCAAAAGAAGAGATTCAGAGGGCTGGAATGATAATTGATTCATTCATTTATTCATTCCAAGTATATTTTTTGAGCCCTTACTGTATGCCAGATAACGATTGACAATGGCAGCATTGAAAATAGGTTTTCAAAAAAATCCCCTTCTCAAAGCATATTTAATAACCCTCTTATCTGTATTATAATTATGATGCATTTGCTACAGTCACACTCCAAAGATCTGAAGCAGTAAGACTTTGTGCCATAATTTACACTTTAACTCAAAATCCTGCTTTCCTACAAGATGACTTCTTATAACTCTAACATCTTGTCTCCAAGCCCCAAACCACTGAAGATCAGGGTTAAAGCACTAATTTCAAGCAACCCTGAGGACCTAAATGTTTTGTAAAATTAAGGCCATACTGTCTGAATTGAGCACTTTATCGAACAAATTGCCTTCCTGCCCCACCCCAGCTCATCATTTCAGATCATTGCCATAGACTTGTTGCAGTTCATGCACACCTTGGTTTCTATTAAAATAGATTGCCTCTGACTTGAGAAAGCTTTGTCCTCTTAAAAGAGGTCCTTTAAAACTGCCTAAACCCTATTCTGAAGACAGAAAAACTGAGAATGATCAGAGGATGGTTTTCCAGTAAGAGAGGACTCAGATATGAAAGGGTTCTTTTCTCTCCCTGGCATAATATTCTTATGAAATAGCAAAAGACTAACTTTTTCCAAAGGAGCTTTGGCATCAGCATTCTAGTTTGTCATCTGAACAAGGCTTATAATTCCAAACTCCTAGAATTTTGAAGATACAAATCTTTTTTGTTTTCAAAAGGCAGAGGATCGTGTAGGCATCTGGCTTCCTGTTCTTTCAGCAGTGTCTGCTGTTATTTATTTTTTTCCAGTGGAAAAGGAAATTTAACTGTGCTCATTGTTAGGATGGAATAATTTTATGTTCCTTAGTTATAGAACTTGCATATGTGTGAGTATTATCAGAACCACATCAGTTCCCCTGATGAATTTGCAATTTGATTATTATCCCGAGAGGTAGGGAGTTGGAATGGGGAGGGAATGGACCACAGAATATGTTAATTGAATACATCCGTCTGCAAAACCTTAGATGAATGGCACCCTCCCTGTCAGATTTCCCTTGATAGATTGGGACACCTCTTTGTAGCCAGGGAGCATAACAGCAGATGGCTGTGCCAGAAGAAGGAAGTCCCCGAAGTCACATTTGATCATTTTATTACTTACATTGGAAATAAAACTATGGATATTATCCAGGAGTTGTCACTGAGCAACTTTTCTGGTATGATTTACAATATTCAGTCCACTTTGTTGAACCAAAAAAATAACAAAGGCCAACAGCATAGATTATACATGAAAGCTCTCTGTCAAGAAAATAAATATTTCTCTCCAATCTTTTTACATTCATACATTTTCATTAGAGTGGAATATGTAGGTACTGTGTACGATGTGGCTAACAATTCTTATACAGTCTCCCTGTAAAATAAACCACAGCGGTTGACTCTACCTTCTACATAAGGGGTCCCAAACCCAGATTGGCCAACCAGTTCTAAGTGAGCTGAGTGATACATGAAAAAGCCTGAATTGGATTCCTCATTCCTAAACTCCCAGGGCTCCACCTGGTTCACAAAGCCCGCTGCCTTCCACATCCACGTTTATGTGAAATAAATTGTATATGCAGGAAGAAAGGGTGCCAGAGAATCCAGGGAGCCAGAGAGACAGAAAGGAGAGTCCCTAAGAATTAGTCCTCTGTGGAACACACTGAAGCACAGATGGAGAAATACTCGGTTTGTGGGGTAGAGCGAAGCTGCAGTGCTCCCTAAGAGGTCTATCCTGAGTCAAACCCATTTTAGAAAGAACTGGGTCTATTTCTATGAATTCATTTGACATTTATACTTCCTAAGCTCTTGGTGCCCCAGAAGGTCTGTCTTCCCTTCCTCTTCCCCTTTCCCCTCTCCACTAGTTCGAGTTCTCTACCCAGGTTTTGGGACAGGACGACAAATGTCAGCAGATCCTAAGTGAAGGCCGGCTGCCCTTGCCTGACTCAGATGCTGCCTCTGCAAAATCCTTTTGCTGGGGGCCAGACAAAGGCCAGAAAAGTAGCTTTTGTTTCCATTTCTAGTTCTGAATCCCTTTATGGCCCACTATCAATCTGTTGGCTACTCAGGGTCTGGTCCTTACTCTCTGGATACCCAAACCGCCTTCATTTCTGAGAAATGTAGATGAGGCTGCATGACAGGATTCAAAGGCCAGCCTGTCTCCTCAGCAGCAGCTGAGCATGGGTCCCCATGGAGGGCCAGACCCTCCACAGCTCTCAGCAGCCGCTATCTTTCAGCAGCACACACTTTCTTCCAGAGTTGAATGCCCTCCTCGGGATGGTCTCCTGGGGGACTTGAATGCCCTCACTGCACAGGTCCAGTCAGAGAAGCAGACCCCAGACCAGGGGTGGGAGTATCTACAAAGTGTGAACAGTTAACCAGAAGCCCCTCCTGGAAGGCCAGATATCACTATACACACACACATTCTATGCAAATAGCCAAGCCTTGAGCATTTTGTGAGATAACCTTAACCTAAATAACGAGTAGTCCTAAAGAATTGTTTCGAATATTCTAGTGTTCATTTTCAGGGTTTTTTTTTTAAATCTTATATATGTATGAAGCTGGGAAGTAGGAAATCTTTTTATTTCTACCTGGCCTCTTTCTCTCCCCTATAACCATCATACACACTTACTTGAGTATATATGTATTTCTGGCTTACTTGATTAAAGCCATCCCCTCACTAAAATATAAGTCCCATGAGAGCAGAGATGATTAACTTTTTGTTCACAGTGGTCTCAGTAACACCTAGCACACTGCTTAGCACATAGATGTTCATAAATATTTGTAAATAAATTTAATGAGTTGACAGAAATCATTCACATGGTGGTCACAGCTAAGAGGGGTGCAGAGAATGAACAAACCCCTAAACATAGTATTGCTGTGAATTTTTAAAAGGTGAAGACCCAAAGAATAGGGACATTCTTAAATATGATTATGGCGTTTTGAAGCTGTGCCCTTATTACTAATTAGAAGATCTGTGAACTATGAAGCATGCATTCACATGGCACATAAAAAGGAGAGCAGTCATTAAAAATCAAACCACAGCAGATTCATGACTGGAGCAAAAGCAAAGCCTATCCCAGAGCTTTCCCGTGAAGCCTCTGGGCTGGCTGGGAACAGGGTGTACAGAATATATTGCCATATGCATATTAAAAAGTGCTCCGGTGTCCGTTCCCCACACAGATCGCAGACGGCAAGCTGTGGTTCCAGCTGGACTGCGGCAGCGGCCCGGGTATCTTGGGTATCTCGGGCCGCGCGGTCAACGACGGGAGCTGGCACTCGGTCTTCCTGGAACTCAACCGCAATTTCACAAGCCTGTCCCTGGACGACAGCTACGTGGAACGGCGCAGGGCGCCCCTCTACTTCCAGACGCTGAGCGCCGAGAGTACCATCTACTTCGGGGCGCTGGTGCAGGCGGATAACATCCGCAGCCTGACGGACACGCGGGTCACGCAGGTGCTGAGCGGCTTCCAGGGCTGCCTGGACTCGGTGGTGCTGAATTACAACGAACTGCCGCTGCAGAACAAGCGCAGCAGCTTCGCCGAGGTGGTGGGCCTGACCGAGCTGAAGCTGGGCTGCGTACTGTACCCGGACGCCTGCGAGCGCAGCCCGTGCCTGCACGGCGGCAGCTGCGCCGGCCTGCCCTCCGGGGGTGAGTGCGCCTGCGCCCTGGGCGCCAGGCCGGCGGGGCGGGGCGGGAGAAAGGGGCGGGGCGCGGCTGGCGAGGACCACATCTGGAGGGGCCGAGCTCTGCCTGCATAAGCAACCGAAGTGCTTTCCTGGAGAGAAGCGTTCCTCCAAGATGCCAGCCTCTAAGCTTCTTGATCCCCTTTGGGAAGTCACAGAGCTTGACAATTTGAGGAGTGTCCAATTTCGCCAACCCATTTTGCAGCATCCTTCAGGCACAGGGAGCCCGGAGATGCCATCATAGCAGACCCCCTCCCCTGCCCACTCCAAATCTTTCCAAGCCTCAGCAGCTTGGAGGAATAAGAAGACCCTTTAAAGTATGTGCCCTCTTGAGTTACCTGCATGTCATTACGGAATGACCAGTAGCAGTCTGAGTTATGACGTCTGTGCACAATTCTTTCAATGTGGACATCTAACTTTACTAGAAGCTAAAGGATGTGGCGGAGGTAGGGGTGGGGTGTGGCGAGGTGAGCCGGGGCCGGGGGGAGGGCAAACCCATCACCCAAGGAATAGAAATATAGTGGAGATGTTTTGGAGCATACTTTTAAGATGTGTGCGTTGAAAATTGGTGGCAACCCTCTAAAAGAGTAGGAAGTCAAAAACTAGGAGAGGCTAACTTACATGAAATCTCAGGACAGATCAACAATGAGGAGGGCATGATGCTTTACCCTAATACAATTTTTTTCCCAAAAAATACATCAGGAAGAAGAAAGAAAGAACAGGGTGACCAAAAGAGAGGAGGGGAGATATCTAATGGGTTTTTATTGTTTGAAGGAAAAGCCAAGATTAAGGCCCAGGAGGCTGAAGATAAAAGAATCTGACTTCACCCAGACGCAGGTTCTGTGTTAAGGTAAACTAGGTCAGGTACTCTCCTGGCTGGCTGAAGGCTTAGCCACCTCCCAACAGGCCAACCACTGTTTCCACTTCAGCCCCTTTCAGTCTCTCAGCAGTAGTGTGATTAGCAAATTTAAACCTTCCTCGCAAATCACTTAGAGATTCTGCCGTGCGCATTACCATCTAATGTTCATGAAGCCCAACTCCAAATTTAGAGTGCATTTTATTATTAGCATGTTATAAACTGTCCACGAAATGATGCACTGCCAAAATACAGACACCAAAGTTATTTAGACTTGCATATGTTACCGCCACAACGAGGGCCAAGTGCCCTGGGGGAAAATTTCTGCCTTCTCGATTTAAGAAATCTATTTGCTGTTTTTACTGTCTCAGCAGTATATGTAAATAAAGGGTTGTTATGGTGCCATAATTCCCGAATGATGGGCAGTAACTATACTTCAGTGGTTCTATAAACCAGCCCATTATGACAAGTCATGGCCAGTTTTCCACCAGGCAAAACAATTCTGCTAGTGAGCCATCTACGATATATAAAAGGAGCATATAATTAAATTGGGTTGAAATAGAACACCACTCCATGTCAAATGCTGGGTATACACAGCCACAAATTGTAACATACTTTAAAGGATGGCAGGATGTCGTTTTTGCTGGCAAAGCTATGGGCTCCCCCAATGGGTTATCTTTTAAAATAATAATAATCACTGTATTGGAGAAAAGACTAATGGCATCTTGCTCTTCAGGGTGCATTTTAATTTTTTGTTAATTACCATGTCCTTGAGCCAGGTATTCAGTGCAGGTATATTAAATAAATGATTATGACCCACATCAGAAATAGGCAGTTTCCTCTATTTTTAATCTCATTTGGTTTAACCAGACTTCTCCACTGAGGACCCACCTGCCATATACTTTTTGCAAGGCCTGAAGAGCTTGCTTTCCCTCTCCAGGGGCCCACCCTTGCCTGCAGGTTGTAGGGTCTCTCAAACTCCTCTTCATCCCCACCCCCACACTTCACCCTGTGATTAAGCAAGGGATTGGATTCTAAAACATGCTTTTCTTCCAAGATGATAGAGTCTCTTATAACTCACTCCTTCATACCTGGAGGCTTATGTTTTCCTAAAACAAAGTATCTTTGCTCCCCTCTTTCTATACAAATCCCTTCCTTCAATACTTACCTCTGTTTAGTTGAGGGTCCCACTGATCCTTATCTCAGGAACCTCCAAGGGCATGGCCCCAATGTGGTGACCTGGGACTCTCATGCGCAGCAGTACTGAGCCCAGGACCAGCAAACCCCCCACCATTCACTAGGAAATCCCAGAAGAGGGAACGCATTTTCTTGTATCTGTTCCTACTAGAGGAATTTTTTCTAGCTCCCTGTATCCAGTCTCCAAATCCCTTAAATTAGTGCTGAATAGTAAGAGAGGAAAAGCAAGAAAAGAGAGAACCAACAATGTGGCCTTTAATGCCTAACTGTGAAACTATGTAGTGAATTATAAGGTTATTTAAAATGAAGAAAAAAACCACCTTGATTTTAGTGTTGGTTTAAAAAGAACAATGAGACTGAGTCATTCACGAAATTGAAGAATTTGCCTCTGGCTGCCAGGGATATCTAATCACAGGGAGGGAGTCTTGGTTCTCCAGATCAAAGGCTAGGATGCATGTGGTATCCAAAGAAGAAATTTGGGCTAGAGAAAGTAGAGTGAGATGCTTCAAATGTGAGTCCACGAACATGAGAATGCTGATAACAGAAGTGAATTATTTGAGTATCTTACTGTTGTTGGAACCCGGTGTTTCTCTAAACTTGAAGGGCACATTTTAGCATAATCATCCCCCTGACCACTGAAGAATGCTGGCCCATACTCCAGGGGTCATTGGCTCCCGCGGGGACAGGCTTCACTCTCTAAGTGTGGCTGTCTAGTACACGGTTCCAGAGCATTTCAGAGTTTTAAAGGAGAGTTTTTAAGCCACAGCAAGAATATTCTTTCAGAGAAGCAGGATTCTGCTCCAAGCACCTCCATACGCAATCAAACCCTTGGCATGAGGGGCAAGGAAGCCGTGTCTGGAAAAGCGTGCTCAGCGAGATTGACCATGTTATAACTCTGGGTGTCCTGGGAGCAAGTCATAGAAACCTCAGGGGAGTCAGGGTCCAGAATACTAACTTGTAATAAGAGTGTAAATATGACTCTGTACATCAACCACAAAGGGAAAGCTGCCATGACCAAGCCTTAGAATTATATGTATTTCATAAACATGAACTGGAAATAGCAACCACCGTGGAGAAGAAATGGCCTAGTCCCATCCTAACCCCTGCATTTCCAGACCTAGTGGATAGGGAGCAGCCCTGTGAGGGCCCACGGTCTGAATAAGGAGTCCTCAGCTCTCCGTGCCTCATCCTGCTCAGCGCAAGACCATTACCTGAAAATTAATTAAGGCTAAGCTGTAATCTGGTGAAGCAATGCAGCAAGCCAGGCCATCACCAGGCCAGAAATAGTCATTCAGACAGCTTTGCATGAGTCTGCAAGTCTAATGCCTAAAACTAAAAGTTGGTAAGTTCTTAAACGGTAAGAGTTACCATTTATTAGATACTTCCTATGTGCTCAGTACTGGGCTACGTGCTTACCTTGCAAGTAACAATGCACTGTGACACTGGATTCTCACACTGCTACTCTGGGATCAATACTATTCTTCCCTTCCTTCACCCCTCCCCATTTTACATATAAAGAAACAGGCCAGAGAGGTTAAGCAAGTAGCCCAGCATCACACAGCTGGTAAAGTGGACTTGACCTGGGTTTGTGGAACCCCCAGCCTATGTTCTTACCCTTGTCACTCAAAGTATGTTCTGGGGATGAGCACCGTCAGCACCACTGGAAATGTCAGAAACACAGCATCTCAGTTCCTACCCCAAATCCAGCGAATCAGAATCTGTATTTTAACAAGATCCCAAGGTGACAGCCTGATTTCTCTCTGTGTCTCAGAACTGTCCTGAAACCTAAGAAAATGAGTTCTTTTTTGTTTTTGCATGTTCTATATAGTGGTTTTCCAACTCCAACGTGCATCTACCTCACCTGAGGACCTTATTAAAATGAAGCCTCTTTAGAGAAGAGTCTCTTGATTATTCAGGAAAAAGGAGGAGCTGTGTACTTGCCACCATCACTCACTGTCCACGTCAGGTGAAATGTCAGCTAGGTTCCTGAATTGTATTTGCAAATTCCTGAACTTACTACCAAAAAAAAAGTCTCAGTGAAAAGTTTGGAGGCGAAAAAAGGAAAAAGACCAAAACCAACGAATCAGAATCTTAGAATCTGCAAGAATAAGATTCAGGTATCCGTGAATCTTAGTGAAGCCTCCATGGCAGTGCTCTGCACATAAGAATTTGAGATCCGCTGACATTTGGGAATCCCAATAAACTCTATTTGCAGGAATGTGAGTCAGCAAATGCCAGGAGAGTAAGCAGACGTAGCAGACAGTTCTAAAAATTGAATGTCAGATGCATAGCCTGCATTTTTTATCATTGTTTTAGTATAAAGACTGAACTTTGTTCCCCAGGGCATATAGGAGTTTGGGGTCACTCTGAGCTCCCCTTCAAAGATAGAAATAGTGGTGTCTAGTGACTCCCTCTAAGCAAGTTGTATGAAGCACCAAGTTCTTGTACATTGCAAACAATTAAGCGAAGAAGTATTTTCAGCAAAATAGCTACCCATCCTTCTTTAGGTGATGTTTTGCTGAGTACTTTGTGTCCCTAACTTATAAAGGTCTAGATCATTCAGTCCTTCAAACTTTTAAGTGCCTGATCTGTGCTGAGTTCTGTATTAAATTCTGGGGTCCCATTGCTGTTTCTGTGACCAATCGATTCCACTGTGTGATCTACTTCCCCTCACAGCTGGCTTAAGAGAATTGAACAGTGTTCCTGTATGTAGTTAGCCCACTAGTCCACTGAGCACAGAGGGACAGAGTATGGAGAAGCCAGCTCCTGGTGAATATACTGTGAACATAATTTGACTGAGCTTTGCAGCTTATGGGGGGGAAAATGTTTCTCCTGCGTGACTTTCTTCTGAATACTGAGTTTATATTTTTTTGGTACTTTAGAAAAACCTCACAGTAACACATTAATAATAT